CAATTTAAAAAAAAATACAAGAATTAAGGAACAAACCGGAAAGGGAAAATATTTAGTATCTAACTCGTAATCTTTCTTGCGGAATCAAGACTCTGTAACCTAGTTCTCTTGATATGAAATGGTTAAAAAGAAATGAGCTACACTAGTCCAGTAAGGATATCACACTATATCACCGACACAGAAATAAAGGTGGGTATAAAAATAAAATAACTAATAAAGTACTAAATTTAGCAAACTCATTTATCAATCATAAAACCATTTACTATTCACTTACTGTAGTGGAATTTATGAAAATAACCTATGCAGAAAATAATATCATACGGATCATAATTTAATATAAGATCAGCAACATAGCACATATCATAAATCTATACACATCGTCAAATAAATCAAACAATAACTATCACATTTTTACCAGCCTACTAGTATCTATGGGGGTTCATAAGGATGTCCCTGCTACACGTGACCCCTTTGCTTTAACAATCTCAATTACGGGCCGTCTCCATATCCTCTTCGGTATAAGAGCTAAATTATCAAATCTCAATACTCCGTCCGGTACGAGGGTGAAGCGGGCCGTCCCCATACCCCATCCGGTATGAGCGCTAAATTATCAAGTCTCCATACCCCGTCCGGTCTAAAACAACATTCACAGTAGGGTTCCCTATGTACTCGGTTCGTCCACCATCTCCCAGGATATCCAGTAAGACTGTCATTCCATCTGTTTATTTAATCACACAACTTTTCCGTTTTCCTTTAGTCTCTATTTTCCAAATCAACCATAATCACACAATCAAATAAATATGCATCAGGGAATACAAGCATATCTCAATTTTTCAATCAACAGTAATCATGTAAGGCATCAATTCATACATTCAAATCATAAAATAAATCAATAAGGTACTATCATGCTTTTAGACTGTAAAATACTTCAACAGAGATTAACAAAAAATGATTTTCAGTTTGGGCTCTATTAGCAATCAGTAATTAATTATGCACATTCATTTAATTCATACAAATACCATATTATTATTTATTTAGACTTTAATTCTATGATAGGGAATATGGTGATGAATTCTTACTCGATTTTGACACCTAAAAAACTAAACTGTTTACTGCGCCTATGGGGGGTCCGTGGGTTGCTTAAATTTTTTTTCAGGAATTAAAACACGCTAATAGTATCTAAAAATATTCCAAATAAATAAAAAATTAGTCTCAGGGCCCACTCGACCAATTTTAAAATTCCAGCACGGCGGCTCCACCGTGCTCCAGCGTCGGTGCTGCCGTCCGTAGCAGTGGTCTGCCTTGGGTCGGTTATTTTCGACCGATTTTGCATCGATCTCTGAGAGAAAACACCTTAAAGGGCATCGGTTGGCCGAAAAAATACAAAAAATCGAAACTCACTAGCAGCGAGACTCTCTGGTACGACAACTCCTCTAGCTCACGTTGCAGTTGAGTGTTTTGCTTCGGTCAACCTGTAGAGAAGAAAACGATGAACACAACAGTGAAAAAATTACGTGAAACAGGAATCGAAAAGGGTCTTATCGGAGGCGTTTTGTAAAATTCTCCACAGCGACGCTGCTGGGTTTTGTCGGCATTTTTCGGCTAATTGGCCGGTCTTTTTTCTCTAATTTGCCCATGGGTGAGCTTAAAATTGAATTTCGTGCAAAAAAAAGTTTTTCCCATTTTTGGTGCTTGGAAAGGGTTCTGGTGCGGCGGTCAGCTCCCCAGCGGCTAGGTCGTCTTCTCCGAGGAGGGGGTCTGGCGGCTAGGGTTAGGGTTTGGTGGAGATAAAGGTTATTTATATCCATCCACTTTTGATCTGGGTCGTCCATCACATTTGATCTATACCGTCCGATTGTGATTAAATAGGGAGTTAATCTGAACCGTTCATCATTATCCAATCTGGGCCGTCCATCGCGATTCACTCTCGATCGTCCGATCGTGTTTGAATCTGACCGTTCGATCGCATTTGGGAGAGAACGCATCCAGGCCGTTCGTGCACACGGGAACGGACCTGGGCCGTTCGATCGCAGGCATGCAGATTGCCCGCATGGCACCGCGTCAGCGACCGTAGCCACACGGTGCGTCCTAATTCACTGGGCCTGCTGACCAGACGTTTGACGTGGCGAAACTTTCTAAAATTATGTTTTGGCCCATGTTTTTTGATTTTTCTATCAAAAATTACCTACAGAACCTAAATTTCACCCATTTTTCCCAAAATTATTTCTAATTTCATGCTCATTCAATTTTTACTTCATTTTTACCCCAAATAAAATAAAATAAAATAAAATATGATAAAATGAAATAAATTAAACAAAATTATATTTATTAATTATTTAATTAAAACAAATTTTTGTGGGTGTTACTGTAACACCTCAAAACTATTTTTATTTTTGTATTGGAATATTTTTTGGATTTTATTTTATTTTAATAGTTAATTTATTTTGTAATAATTATATATTTAATTTAATTTAATTTAATTTAATTTAATTTAATAGAAATAAAAATGATAATAATGATAAAATTGGGTAAAATTATTTTTGAAAATTAATTGAAAATGATTTTGGAAAA